AGAGCAGGCTTGCACTGGTTGAGACCAACCTCTTTGGTGATGCCTCTCATGACCTTGCTCACCACAATTCGTGGGATCTTGGCATCATGTGCGCCAAGGGCAGTCACATACCACTTTTCAAGATGCTTTGCACGCAAACAAAGGGTGTCAAACAGTTTCCCATGCTCGGAAAACTGGGTCAAGGTCATGGTTCCCTGAACATTTGCTTTGCTTATCATGGCCAGGAGTACATGGTGAAGATATATCCAAGACTTGTGCACCGTCTCAAAGCGCTTGCAGTGCAGCAGTTCAGGTGGCCTAGCAAGATTTTGCGAAGAGGCAAGGCAAATCTGGACACATTGAAGCGAAGACACACTCAGCTTCAGAGACTGGTGCGCAATGATCAGCAAGCTCTTGGAGGGTATCGCATCGAAGTCACTGTCAAGGCTCCAACATTGAACTCAGCAATTCGTCAACTTGGCAAGACTCCTCTGTTGAACATCCAAGAATGGATCAAGCCCCTAGATGACGAGTTTGATGACCATCAAGTTGGCTTTATTTTGATCTCGTCCAGTGCAATGCTCAGGCAGTGGACCATGCTTGAGGAGCAAGCGCATCAACTTGGCCTTTTCTTGGGTCGCAATGAGAGGAACATGACTTCTGTGGAGCAGAAAGTGCTTATCGATCTCCAAAATGCGCTTGGATGGAACGCAGGATACAGAAAGCCGACCCACTATCAAGACACTGCTGCTTGGTGGGATGCACCGCAAAACCAAGTCGTGCATTCTGCTGTGGAGCAGCCTACCACTGAGGGTGCACAGAATCAGCCATCTGCTACGCACACACTTGCTGCTCTCCAGGGTCTGTCAGATGTGCTCCTGTTGCAAGAACTGTTCAGTATTCTTCAGCCTAAGATGACCTGCAGGTTCTGCAAAGACCCAACAAGCAGATACATCAAGAAATGGTGCAGGGATGTGACCAAACAGCAGCGCTTCCAGTGCAACAGACAGCCGCGCAATGGACCTTGCAAAGGTGGTGCACTGTACCTGCAAAAGGAACTGGAGATGTTCGCTTCCTGGATTGACCAATTGCAGCTCAATCTGGACGACAAGTTCTTTCCCAGCAAAGAGGCAGCCATGCTGCAAGTCAAGTCTCAGATTGAGGTTGTGATCGAGCCAAGATCTCTGGCCTTGGGACGCAAAGCTCTGCAAGCAGTGCGTCCTGTCCCTGAAGATGCACCAGCAGTGGCAGTGCAAGAGCACGCACCAGATGGGCAGCAAATTGGCTTTGGCTATACAGCTTCTCGCTTCATACAAGCTGATGGTAACTGCCAGTTCCGTGCATGGGCACACTTGAAGTTTGGTAAGCAACAGTACCACTTCAATGCTCGCAAGGCTGCAGTTGGTTGGCTTAGAAAGCATCGTCACCTGGTGGAGGACAGCTATGCGCCAGAGATTAACAGTCTGCAGGAACACAATCGCAAGGCTTATGATGGAATGCTGAAGGACATGGCAAAGAGCGGAGAGTGGGGAACTGAGTACACGCTCTGGGCCCTTGTCAACTACTACCAGCAGCCAGTAGAGGTGATTCAGTACAGTCATCTAGCAGGCAGCTGGACACGCAACAAGCTGCTTCCCTGGCAGCACTCAGGTGTTAGGGTTAGGGTTAGGGTTAGGGTTAGGGTTTAGGGTTAGGGTTAGGGTTAGGGTTAGGGTTAGGG